CTCCTGGAAAAGGCCCCAACGGCCACGGGTGCCGGAGGGCTGGAGACCGGTGCGGGTCTGGGGGAGTGAGAGGCCAGGTTGGCACAGCTCATGCAAAAGCGTGGGGGTGGGGTGGGGTCCTGCTCTCCTTCCCTTCTCCCCGCCACTGTCAGAAAACAGGCACAGACCCCCCCACCCCAGCCTCTATGACGTCATGGGAATGTCCGCTCCTGCTTCCTCGGAGGCAGGGTGGGGGGGACGCCTCCCTCCTGGGTTCTTATGGGACGACTGATGGCTGCCACGCACAGGGCACAGCCTGTTGGGTAATGTAGTTTCTGTCCTGCACGTGACGAGGTTGGGCTGGGCCCTCCCCAGTCCCCACAACCTTGGCCGTCATACTACTGCTGTGAATGTACTGTCATACATAGCACTGGGAGGGACCGTGGGAAGTACTGCTTTAGGACTCCAGACGCAAGGGCGGTGGGGCCACCTGGGCGAAAGCCCCATCCTGTGTGAGCCCTAATGGGAGACTTCTCCTTACTGGCCTTAAGCAAGCCTCTTCAACCTCTGAGGAAAAAATTATATTTAAAAACCGTAAATAAGGTGGAGTTCCGGAGGACGAGAATGAGGATGGCGGCCTCCCAGTCTCCGGCCCGGAGGAGCCGAGAGCCAGGGGCCCCACTCCTCGGTGCGCCCTCAGAGAACGGCGCCCGATTGCTCCCGTCGCCCTGGCCTCTGGCCGCGCTCCGAGCTGACCGAGCCTGCGACCGGTTCAAGCACAAGCCGCAGAACAAGATCGTGATCCACCTCAGGAACTCGTACCAGCACCCATTCTGGCACCTGCTGCATCTTTGGAGCCTGAGCTGGCCCACCCCATCCCTGGTGCTGTGGTTCACCAGTCAAGAAGAGCAGTGACACCACCTCCCCTGGTAGTCAGGGCTCTAATTCACTCTCCTGAGATGCAAGAGCCATCAGCCCCTTTGCCTTACTTGGAGGTCCAGCAGGGTCCTGCCCCTGCTCCTGCAGTTGCTGAACGGCCTGAACCGCCACCTGCCTCAGTGGAGCAACCAGCCTCAGCCCCTGAGCAGCATCTGGTGCAGGCTGCAGCCCCTAACAATGCCTTCCCCTCACCTGTCATTACCTTCTTTGTAATATTTGTGTTTTGTATACACCTGCATAATGACTTAATAAATGTTCATTAAATGAAAAAAAAAACAAAACAAAAAACGTAAATAAGCCCTGGGGATGAAATGGGCAGCATGATGACTATGGTTAACAATACTACACAAAAAGTAATATTTAAGAGGTTTAAAAATAGGCGATATAAAGATAACTTGCAGAATCATCATGTACTAACATTAAATAGTGCTCTAATCCAGTACTTCCCAAACCAGTAGCATTAACCTCACACAGGAATATGTTAAAAATGCATCCGGAAGGGCCCCAATCCATGCCTGAACCTGCAGCTAAATCCTGGGGAGGTGTGTGCAAACTGAAATCACAGACGCTAGAGAAGATATCCCGTGGAGGAACACAAATGAGAAAGCGTAATGAAGTTATAATTGCCTAATAACTTATGCCTGTATTTCATTGCCCAAAACTCATTTACATGGCTCATGTAGACAAAGCTGTGTGTCCATAAAGGGAAAACCGGATTGGAGAGCATCTACCCACTTCCTCGTACAATTCATCAGATATCCATTTTATTATTCTTCCTACATATTCAGCACTACTACCCTTTGGGTGGTAACCCAAAACTCCATGCCTTCTTTTTCTTTTTTTTAAGATTTTATTTATTTATTTATTTCACAGAGAGAGAGAGAGAGATCATAAGTAGGCAGAGAGGCAGGCAGAGAGAGGGGGAAGTAGACTCCCTCCCAAGCAGAGAGCTGGATCCAAGGGGCCTGATCCAAGGATCCTGGGATCATGACCTCAGCCTAAAGCAGAGGCTTCAACCCACCAAGCCACCCAGGCACCCCTCCATGCCTCCTTCTTAATGTTAGTTAGTATTTCTATTTTTTTGTTTTTAAGATTTTAAGTAATCTCTACACCCCAGCTGGGGCTCACACTCAGAACCCTGGGATCAAGAGTCACATGATCTACTGACTGAGCCAGCCAGACACACCTAATACTTCTATTCTTAAGACCACACACATAATTATATAGTTGTCACTATATAATTATTGTTCTGTGACACTGCGGAAGGACCCATTCAAGGATCAGCTGAAGGAAAAAAACCATGCCAACCTAGATTTCTATATACGTCAAAATTTCAAGAAAGAATACAAAAGAAGACTATTTCAAACCAAAAATGAGGAATTTAATGGAAGATTAATACACACAAAATAAAATCCTAAGGGTTATACTTAAGAATTTTGGAAAGTAATCTTAGATGAAATATTTATAGTGATAGAAGGAATGAGGACCCAAGAGGGGAATACATATGTGGATTGGTACATCTGCTTATTATTTGCATTAAACATGAATAACATTTCCTTGTGGAGTCAGATTAATAGAATTAAGATTCATAATCTCAACAACACATATACTGAGATAGAACATATTAATCTTCTAAGTCCCTTATATTGCCTGGGAAGATGGAAAAGCATTAATAAGTCTGTGCTATACTGTTTTAAGTGTTTGTAAATTTTAGCTTAAATAATAACAAACAGAATAAGCTTTTTAAACTAGATTTTTTTTAAAAAATCTGGATTGTAAGTAACAGGTTTTTTTTAAAGACCAGAAAAAGAACAAGTAAGGCAAAGAAAGCCACAAAATAAGAGGACATATAAACCAAATATGTAAAATATTACATTAGGTAAGTATGAAATAAATTAAATTAGCAGTCAGTACTTTTTGATAGTTAAAACCCCTCTTCACAAGGTACTTAATCTTCATTAATAAATTTCAAGGACAGTTTTCAAATTTCTATTCAAAGAACAATTAACATTTCCTTGCATCCTCAGCCACCCCATCTCTACCAGGGAAAGAAACCAGGGGCAAAGAATGTCCTGGCTTTGGTTGCTGGGGAACCAAGACCTTATGCTCACGGTCACCAGAATCTATGATCAAGCTTCTAAAGGTCTAAAATCAGCTGAGACGTCATCAACACCTGCAGTGTATTTTTACAAACAAATCCCCTGATGCAAAAGGAACAGGATGGCATGAAGGGGTTAACACCATAGTGAAAAAAATTTTATCAACAGCTAACATTTAAGAATACCCACAAATCTGACACCAGGTACTTTACAACACTATCCTTTAACCTGCGTAACCACCTGGTGAGGTGCGTCAGTCAACACTCTTGTTTCATAGGTGATGAAGCTGAGACTCACAAAGGATATTAGATCACCCACTTTACAGAGGAAGAAACCAAGAACCCAGAAAGTCCCTGAGTTGCACTGTCATGGCCACTAGTAAGAAGCACAGCCGAGAAGGGTGCTCACCAGCCCTGCATGGCTTCCTGCCCAAATTCAACCAATCTGGGTAGCGGCAGGGCCAGGGCCCCACAGCATCAGAGAAATAAAGCCATGGCAAATTCACTGCCCATCTAACCATCAAGGGGAGAAAGAGTCCTGCCTTTTTCTGTCCAAGAAAGGGAGTCTTCAGCTTCACTTGCTCACTCAACAAACTAGGTGCTGACTGAAAACCTAGAATACAAGGACAGGCCATGTCACATTCCCAAGGATGCAAAGGGCTCATTCTTCACTGAGGAGGGAAAGTCATTCCCCGGGGCTCACCCATCATCCCAATTATGGACATGTCTTATTGGCTCTGCCTCCTAACATGTCCCAAGTCCTCTTCTACCCACCAACCACAATGCCACCAGTCCAATGACAATGCACTCCTAGACCACCCAGTAGCCTCATCTCTCTATCCCACATCAATTTTTCCCCCTTCAGTCCACTCTCCACACAGCAGCCAAGGGTAAATTCAGAGACAAGATCATGCTACTTCCCTGCTGAAACCCTTCCTCAGCCTCCCAGGACACTCAGAATAAAATCCACAAAGCCCTGTGCATCTGGCCCTGTTCCCTCTTGTCTTACTGATCACCACTCATTTCCTCCAGACACACTGGCATTCAGCTGTTTCCTCTAATAAGGCCAGTTCTTGCCGGCTTCAATGTCTTCACACATGCTGTTCCCTTTGCCAAAAATGTTCTTCCTCATCGTTGAACATGGCCGGGGCTCCTCCATCCCATATGCATGCTGTCACCCTTTGTGTACTGTCTGCTCCTCGGTCCATGCTTGACAGTGAACATACATCTTCCCACTTATACAAGAAAGGCCTGTGGGGAAATGACATGACTGAGGTCACCCAGATGGTGATGGGCACAGCTTCGAAGTGCTAGAATTCCAACTGTCCCAAGGACCCAAGCCCTCAGCCACTGGACCACTCTTCCCAATGGACATCTGTCCTCCATACCTAAGTGTTGACCCTGATTATGCCACATAAGGAGTCCAGGCACATTACTGTCATAGCAGCATTGCTACACCACCCCTCTGTGTTACCACATGTTCTTCCCTTCCAGACAGCAAGGCCATGTCTCAGCCACCCGTGTATTTCCACGACACAAGGTACATGTGGGTTAATGGGCATGAAGGATGGGGTTCTTGTGACTCCTGCCCATCACACCAGCAAGAGCACAGCAAGCCCGTGGAAACAGAAAGTTAGATGGGGGAGACAATGGACCATGAGGGAGGAGGGCCCTTCATCTGCAAAGCACATTGCTTCTGCTATGGGACAAAGTGAGGCCAGGTCTCTTTGCAGGTCACGTGACAGTAAAGAACTCTCATGTGTGGAAAGAATGTCCCTCTACTGAGAACCACGTCGCATTTTGGGATACTGGCCTCCAGTCTCTGTAGTGCCAGGGCTCAGCAGCAGGTAAAGGTAACGTTGTAGGCATAGCACAAACTGCATGTGTATGAAACACACACAGTATGCAGGGAAGCCTTGGGTATGAACTCTCAGATGCCAAGTAACATTCTCCCTCCGGTCAAACACTTTGCCACTGCCATACTTTAAAAAGGTCTGTTTAAGAAGAACTCAGTATGAGTTCTCTGATGTTGACTGAGGCCTGCCTTCTGGTCAAAGGCCTTCCCACATCTCTTACACTTGTAGGATTTTCCTCCACTGTGAATCTTTTTATGAGTAGTGAGGGTTGAGCTGTAGCTGTAGGTCTTTCCGCACTCACTGCACTCATAGAGCTTCTCCCCAGAATGACACCTCATGTGTCGAGTTACAGAAAAGCTGTTACAAAAGGCTTTCCCACATTCTTTGCACTCAAAGGGTTTTTCTCCAGTGTGGGTTCTATTATGCCGTATAAAATCAGAGTGGCGGGCAAAGGCCTTTCCACATTCACTGCATGCATAAGGCTTCTCTCCACTGTGAATCCGCTGGTGCTCCGTGAGGTGTGACCTGCGGCTGAACGCCTTCCGGCATTCGATGCACACATAGGGCTTCTCCCCAGTGTGAACCCGCTGGTGTTCTGTGAGGTGTGACCTACGGCTGAAGGCCTTCTCACACTCGATGCACTCATAGAGCTTCTTCTTAATGTGAATGCTATAGTGTCCAGTGAGATCTGCCTTCTTGAGAAAGGCCTTCCCACACCTTTTGCATTTATAGGGTTTTACTCTAGTGTGAATCCACTGATGTTGAAGAAGGAAGTGATTCTTGATAAACTCTTTCCCGCATTCCTTGCATTTGTAGGATTTCTTCCCTCCATGAATCAAGGTGTCTTCCCTTGGTCTATGTGATTCACACTCCAGGAGACCATCTCCTGGAGAGAATTGCTCCTGTAAATAATTTCTGCCCAGATTTTTACTTGTTACCAAATCATCACACTCAGGGTTCACCTTTTCAGGGCGGGTTTCCTTGTAGGGGACTGTCCCTGTCCTTATGTGCTCTCCCTGTTTTTCTGATGGTCTTTCTTGTTCCCTGGCTTCTCCCAATGTGGAAACACTGGAGTCTTCCTCAGTCAGTAACCTGTGGGGTGAGCATCCCTCAAACAAAGCTGGTGGAGAAGCAGAAGGCTCTGTAGTATTGGTTTTTGCTTTGTCATCTGAAGGGAATCCAATGCACAAAAGAGGCCCATTAGCAATGCCAACATACAAGGAACAAACTCACTAAGCCAGTGGGAAAAACAAGATGGAAACAGGGCCACTGATACCTGATGGATTTTCACATCTCTGAAACTCAGGTTTGGATTTTTTTTTCTTTTTGCTGGTCCTTGGATTCTTGACATCTTTAAAGGGACAACCTTGGGGAAAATCTGGGGTAGGGACCAGAGAAGAATCCCTTCCTCACTATCCAGAGGGGAGAGAAATGATGACACCACGTGCTGTGTTTGTTCTAACAAAGGATGTCACAGGGAGCACTATGAAGGGTGCGTCTAACCCAGCCCAAATGAGAGAGAAAGACAACTGGGAGGTGTCTTGAGATCTGAGACCTAACGAAGCAAGAGTTTACCACAAACAGAAAGTGACAGGGCACTGCAGCCAGAGGAGGCAGAGTGTACAAAGGTGCAGAGTCTAGAGAGAGCCTTGGATGCTGAGGGAACTTCAGAGCATGAGAGGATGGGGGAGATGTGGCTGGAGAAGCAGATAAGGTGCAGACTGCAGAGTCTAAGGGTGAGAGTAAGTACAGTCACGGCCACTCCCAGGACAGTGTCTACAAGGCTAAGGGTGAGCAGGACCTGCCAGGGGGACATATTAAATCTACTGTATGAGGAACAGCTAGGTGACTAAAACATGGACAAAAGCTAGAGAAATTTGAAATATTTCAAGATATTAAAGAGAAGCTATGCAAATGAAGAAGTTAATAACAAGGTTGTCAGCTCTCCTCAAATCTATCTGTAAATTCACCACCAGTCCAGATAACAAGATAAGATTTTCCATGAAACTCAACAAGCTGATTCTAGAATTTATATGCAAGAGTTAAGGGCCAAGAATGTCACTGGAAAAAGAATAATGAGATGGGGCTTGCCCTCCCAGCATTAGGGTTATGAAGACAGTATAGACATCGAGACAGCATGGTACTGGCAGAGCCATAAGGAAAACTAGCAGCAGGACACCACAGTGCTCAGAAATAGACTCAGGGATACACACAGCTTTCACTGATTGTGGACATGGCACAGTGGGTCAGTGGCAGAAGAAAGGGCGATATAACAAATGGAGCTAAAAACCTGACAACCCACATGCAGGAAAAAGATACTGCATTTCTGGGCGCCTGGGTGGCTCAGTGGGTTAAGCCACTGCCTTCGGCTCAGGTCATGATCTCAGGGTCCTGGGATCGAGTCCCGCATCGGGCTCTCTGCTCGGCAGGGAGCCTGCTTCCCTCTCTCTCTCTCTCTCTCTCTGCCTGCCTCTCTGTCTACTTGTGATCTCTCTCCGTCAAATAAATAAATAAAATCTTTAAAAAAAAAAAAAGTTACTGCATTTCTAGTGCATGTCATACACAAAGTTAGTTCTTGGTAAGCAACAGAAAAGGAATATAACTTGAGCTTGGTGTAAGGAAAGACTTCCTAGCAAGACATGAAAAGCAGTAATCATAAAACAAAAGATAAATTGATCTAAATAAAATATGAGTTTCTTTTAATCAAGAGATGCTTAAAGAAAATTTCTAAAAAGCTAAGCTCTAATAGAATACAACTGCAGCATAAAGAATGAGTAAAAGGTTAGTATCAGGAATATAAAAAAAAAATCTGACAAATCAGAAAGGGAAGAGCTACCATCTTAGTGATTCCCGATGGAGACAAAGGGAGAGCAGACACATCTCAGCCTAGAACATGGCAGGGACTGTGGGAAGGATGGCAGGTGGCTCTAAAGGCCTTCCCCACCATCCAGGCCTCAAAAGACAGGAAGAAACCAAGAAGGAGGCTGCACGTCCCTGCATGGAGGCGAAGAGAAGACTTACCCAGTGAGACCAGGAGCCTGCAGGTCTCCCTCATCACCTTCCAGTACAGTGTCCTCTGGGGCAGGTCCAATAATTCCCACTCCTCCCGGGTGAAGGTGACAACCACATCTTTGAAGGTCACCGGTGTCTGGAAAGTCAAACACAGTAGCATCATGTGCTTTATGGCTGTTGGGTGGGACCAGAGCCGGCAACTTAGTGTCTGGTGAAGGTGTACAGAGGTCCAGCCCTGAATCATTGAGGCCTCTTGAAGGCTAAGCTCTGAGCTGGACTTAAGAGGGAGGCAGACATGGCTGACAGAGAAGCCCTCCATGGTGGAAACAATGGAGAAGAACACAATTACATTCCCACGAGGACCATGGGGACAGACGATAAGTGGTCTGGGACATCAGAGGGACAGGGAAATAATCATGATAATTCCAATAACAGAAGAGCAGCAGCCCAAGCCAAACCTCCCTCGTCCTTCCTGTGTGCCTGCCCTGGGCTGTGGGCTTCACATGCTCTGGTAAAGGGATGAAATGTTCGCAGCTCTGGAGCTGTATACCTCACAGAAGCCATTTCACTTCTCTGAGCCTCGATTTCCCCTGTCAGTATAATAGTTCTCTCACTTTATCAGGTTTTTTTTTAAAGATTTTATTTATTTATTTGTCAGAGGGAGAGAGAGACCACAAGTAGGCCGAGAGGCAGGCAGAGGCAGAGGGAGAAGCAGGTTCCCTGCCAAGCAAGGAGCCCGATGTGGGACTCGATCCCAGGACGCTGGGATCATGACCTGAGCCGAAGGCAGCCGCTTAACCAACTGAGCCACCCAGGCGCCCCACTTTATCAGGTTATTTGAGAATCCAAGGGAAAACATTCCTAAAGCCAGCACTCGAGTCTCTGGCTCATGACTGTGCTCTGCACATTTATTAACCTTTCCATCACCATGAAGATAAATGGCATCATCAGCTCCATCACAGGGAGTTGGGGCTCAGGGAGTTACAGTGAGTCACCCGAGAGTTCCCAGTCTACACCTCAGAGGTAGGATTTCAACCTAGGTCCTTCTGGCCCAGGTCTGTAGTAACCCTGACACTGCTCCATTACTGTAGGTGAAGCACTTTTTTTTTTTAAAGTAAAAATTATTTATTTGAGAGAGAGAGAGAACATGAGCAGGCGGTGGAAGGAGCGGCAGAGGGAGAGGGAGAAGCAGACTCTCCATCAAGCAGGGAACCCAATGTGGGTCTCAACCCCAGGGCCCTGAGGTCATGAGCTGAGCCGAAGGCAGATGCTTAACTGACCAACCCACTCAGGCGCCCCAGGGGAAGCAGTTCTAGTAACAGTTGCTGTTAATCTACTTCTGCTGTCCCTGACCACTCTTCCTTGGACATGGACAGAAGACCGCAGCCATCCTCACCCTCCTCATGCAAGAGGAACAAAAGAGGGTGATACTCATCCCGGGAGCGGTAGGGCCTGGGCCATCTCCCCACACCCACTCGGGCACGCCAGCCTTCTCAGATGCCCCAGGAGATTCTGCAGTGAGCTAACACTCAGTTTTCCCTTCCTGAGTCCTGACAGCATGTGTCTCTGAGTCAGGAACACCATATGGACCAGGGAACCCGAGTGGCTGAGAACAATGCCACAAAGGCAGCAGCCTCTGACTGGCTGTGATGTGTGTCCTGGTGAGGGTGGGATGAACATCCAGCAAATGATCACACATGCTCCCCTTCCCAAGACACATCTCAGCAGGTGGGGGGGGGTGCTTGGCAATCACAAGGCCCTCTGGTGCCTCCTCAAACAACTCTCCTCACTGCCTCCGTCCACGAGGTTCCCTAATCTGGGACGGCTCCTCTTGCTCTCCTTGTTCCCACGCTCACCTGTAGGGGAAATCCCTGCCCACCTCACAAAGGTTAATATAGGTGTCATCCTCGGGCCTCCCCAGCCCACTGTGGTTGGAAACACAGGCTCTGGTAGTTAATGGACAATATGTGATGTTCAACTACTTCAGAGTTGCGTGACCTTGGGTAGGTAACTTAACGTCTCTGAGCCTCCAGTTCCTCTTCAGTAAAGCAGGGATGATAACAGCACCTAACCCTGAGGGGACGGGAACTGAATGAGATGAAACACAGTAACTGTCCCTCAAAGCAAATCAAGGGCTCAGTAAAATCCAGCCATAGCCATGTTTGGTTATTCTTATTTTTCCTCCTTGCTCCTCAAGCACCCTGGAAAGGCTCAACCTGGCACTCAACTCTGCACAAAAATGCAAGCTCCCAAGCATGTGAGTTCAGGGGGTACTTTAGCTAGAACTGGAAAGATGAAGTGGCATTTGAGCAGAGTCCTGAGGAATGCACCAGCATGCCTGCTGAGCTCCAGAGACTGTGTCCTGGCAGAGGCTGGCAAGTGGGCAAGAGCTCGGCAAGTGGAGGAGGGCGTAGCTGCAGGGCCGTGAGATGGGGGAAAGGGAAGACATGTGGGAGGACACAGAGCAGTTGCAGGGACAGGTGCAGCAGGCCGGCAGGGGGGTGGTTGAATGTAGATTCTAAGTGTGACAAGAGCCCACTGAGGTGGTCTCATTCTCCAACTAGCTGTCGAGGTCCTGTTACGGAGCTGACAGAGTAGCGAAGAGCAATCACAGCCCCTGCTGGACAAAGATCACCAACAAGGACTAAATAACTGAGCAAGATGATGCCGATGGCGTTAGGATTTCTGAGACCAAGGGAAGAAAGTACAGGATTAGAGAGATGGGGCCTTGTTAAAACGAAAGCTGGGGATGGCCTTGCTGCAGACAGGTGCCGGAATGGCAGGAAAGAAGGGAGGGGGCACATGCTGGAGACACCTGGGCACTGTTGTGTATTCATGTCTAAAGCCACACCATGGGGGGCCTGGGTGGCTCAGTGGGTTAAAGTCTCTGCCTTTGGCTCAGGTCATGATCTAGGTGTCCTGGGTTCGAGCCCTGCGTTGGGCTCTCTGCTCAGCGGGGAGCCTGCTTCCCTTCCTCTGTCTCTGCCTGCCTCTCGCCTACTTGTGATCTCTGTCAAATGAATAAAAAATCTTTAAAGCCACACCATGCCCCAGCACTGCCACCGCTGACTCTTTAATGCATCTACTCTTCACATAAAAATAAACGTCTTAAACAGAAAAGTAATCTTGTCATGTAAGCGGCAGGCCCGCTTTACTCATAATAAACAGATCGCAATTACAAAGATGAATCCAGTAACCTTCCTGGCTCCCAGGGCCTAAAGGCCCTTTTCATCCCAGCAGAGAAGGAGTGATTCCAAAAATACTGCTCCCACTGTGAGTCTGCCCCTAGGCTTTCTTACCCTAGTCTTCGGCTGCATACAAGCCTGAGACAAGGGAAACCCCAGGGCAGGATTCCCCTGAGGTAAGCCCCTAAGATCATCACAGGACAAGAGGCTCTGCTCCCTGAGAACAGTGTCCAGAGTGATGCTACCTGGGCAGTGTTGGACACTGGAGGACACATATCACACATATGCCCTCTCTGGCTCCTTCAAGCCACAGGGAGGAAATGCCAGTATTCCCACTGACCCAAAGAGATGGAAGACAAAGGCATTGATGACTTACTCAAGGTCACAGCCCTGGGAAGGGCATAGCCAGAATGCCTCCTGAAGCCTCTACACTGCTAATGAGCTCTTTCCGGAAGCTTGGTTCACTCAGACAGAGCAGGGACAGGAGGATTCTGAGAAGCCGCATTTCTCTCTCACCACATTACCAAGAGGACAAGACCAGAGCAAAGGCCTCCTTGGACCCCAAAGATCACAGAAATGAATGGCCACGACCAGCATTTACTGAGCATTCCCTGCATGCACTGTACTACCTTTCACACTCTGCCTCCCACATCTGTCACCAGGACCCCAGAGGGAAGGACTGCAATCGGCACATTCACAGACAAGGAAGCGGACTGTCCCACCGCGGTGCAGTGGCAGAACACGGAGCTGAACCCAGGCTGTCGGCTTTGTAACCCGTTTTGCACACCTGTGACACATGCTGCGACTGCGAGGGGGCTGTGGGTGACATGGGGAACAGAGTATTCCGGGTACTATTTGGGGGCTGCAGGGAGCCTCCTTCCTGCTGTCCCTGCTTCGTCTCCCCTCCACAGATACAGAAATCCTATTAAGACTTGACCCAAGAGACAGTCCTCCTTAGTATAGTGGTGAGTATCCCCGCTTGTCACTTGGGAGACGGGTTCGATTTCCCGACCGGGAGGCTGCAGAGTGCTTTGGGGCACCAGTGGGTTGAGCCTCTGCCTTCGGCTCCAGTCGTGGTCTCAGGGTCCTGGGATCGAGCCCCACATCGGGCTCTCTGCTCAGCAGGGAGCCTGCTTCTCCCTCTCTCTCTGCCTTTCTGCCTACCTGTGATCGCTCTCTCTCTCTGTGTCAAATAAATAAAATCTTAAAAAAAAAAAAAAAAAAAAAGACTTGACCCAAATCACGTTCCTCCTCTCCTCCAAATCCTCCAGGGCTCCAACGAACCCCAAAGAGGCCCGGTTCCTCGGCTTGTCATTCCAGCCCTGACCCCAATCTTGGTGCCGTCCTCCCACCAGCTCGGCCGCACCTCCCCGCGTTCGCACCCCTTGGTGCACGTGCCTGGGACAGCCCTCCACACCTCGCTGGTCCACAGAGCTGGGAACCTATCAAGGCGGGCCCCCAGGCACAACGGAACCCAAGACAACGCTATCTTCCATATGGAGGCGCTGGGATTGCATCGTTGAGGGTCCACAGGGCCTGAGGGCTCATCCACTCACCTGTGCCGGGTCCATCGGCTCATCTGCCGCCTCCGCGGGACCCTGTGCGTGGACGGGGTGCCGCGAGAGGCAGGAGGCCGTAGAGGGTCCCAAGGGCTCCGCTGAGCCGCCTCACACAGCCTCAGCCCTGCCACAGGGCAAGGGGACACGACACCTCTTCTGAAGCCTCCCTGGCCCGCGGCCTCAAGCCCACTGAGGGTCCCGAGGCTGCGACCTCGCGAGCAGACCTGGGACCGCCCTACACAACCTCCACGAGGACCGCGCCGTAGCTCTCGCGGAACGCGGGATCCCAGCTCTGTGCTGTGATTGGCCCAGCGCTACCGCCTCTTGCCGCTGAGCCTGCTGGGTGATAAGGTTCCCACAGCTCTGCCTGCTGCCTCAAGGGGCGCTCTTCTAGAAATCACCTCACAGGACCCGCGGTGCCTGCCTGAGGGCCTCTGGGAAATGACGTCACCAGGCTCTGGGGGTGGGATGGGGCTTCTTCGCTTCTTGACCCGCCACCGCCGCGTTTCTGGGGAGCGGCTTCTCTGATTGAGGGAAATGATTGGATGTGTTGTCTCGTGTGTGCCCGAAGTCTGCCCGGCTTCTAAAAGGACGCGGGGGACGGTGACACCACGCAGAGTCCACCCCTCGGAGATCAGAGCTAACCAACAGCCTTTGCTGCTCTTCCGTTCCCGGGAGACTGAAGCTGGAGAGTCAGTTCTGTGGGATGCAGTAGTGGTCAGGGACGACAGGGAAAACGCTTCTGGGGCGCAAGTTGAAGGGGAGAGGGGGGACTCTCGGACAGCTTTACATCAAGTGGCGAGAGCACTGTCTCCTTTTCCCTCAGAAAATCCGTTTTTCCCCTGCCTGCATACTCGCGGACTGAATCCCTATCCCAGCCAGCGAGCAGCACCATCTCACAATGGGGAAATTCTTACCCCGCATTTCGAGGCGTAACCTGTTTCTTTCAGTGGTGTGACCCCTGAGGTCTATTTGAAAGGGAGTGGTATTTGCCAGGTTTCCTTTTCCGTTGGGATGGTGAACGTGACGGTCATGGTCTGGGAGTGTGTAGAAAGTGACCATCTGAACCCCGGGATGAGTGGGTCTTCTTGATCTCCATCTGTTTGCTGTAATTGCAATGATAGTATCTACCGGGGGAATTGAAATTGTCTCTGAAACCCGTCTGTGGAAAGTAAATTGCTCCCAACCAGTTTTAGTCTACTAGCAAAATTATGCAGGATGTTACCAATCGCCTCGTGCTGTGCATTAACATCAGTTCAGTAAAAATCCACCTTGAGAAGGTGCTCTGCGTTCCCGTTGCATAGCACCTTTATTCCTGAGAAGTTTCACATGATTGTGGTTACACTGCTCCGCGTCCTCAGGTCAGAAGGTGGCTTCTCCTACACTAGTCACCTTCTGTGTCAGCTTACTCAAGGAGGACTCCAGAGTTGTGTCCCAGGTGGAGGGATGGATTTGTCCTTACCTGAGATGGGGAGGTGTGGTGGTGGTGGTGCAGATGGAGGAGCTTGGAAATAGTAGGATCTCACTTTTTTTTTTTTAAAGATTTTGTTTATTTATTTGACTGACAGAGATCACAAGCAGGCAGAGAATCAGGCAGAGAGAGAGAGGAAGGGAAGCAGGCTCCCTGCTGAGCAGAGAGCCCGATGCGGGGCTCGATCCCAGGACCCTGGGATCATGACCTGAGCTGAAGGCAGAGGCTTTAACCCACTGAGCCACCCAGGTGCCCCGGATCTCACTTTTGAATATATTTTGCTTTAAAATCTATTAAACATCCAAACGAGGCAGACTGTAGACATTTCAATATAGAACTCGGGGTTTTTTTGTAAAAAATTTCAGCATTTTGATTTACTGATAGATTGATTTCTAGAATGCTCATAGTCTGCAATCCAGATTCCTCAACAGAAGAGGAAATTAATGTTCAGAGATAACACAAGACAAAATGTCTCATATATGGATTTCTGCAGTTATAGCTAAGTCCAGTGTTTTAAGAAAAGTAAACACAGAAGCAGTTTAGCTGGGGAGTATTTAAATACTGCTTGATGAAAGGAGTGTTCCTATGTCTCAAACTAGGACCACCTGTGGTGTCATTTACACTCTAGAGCTGTATGGGAGATCAGGTTGATGGAGATGCCAGATGAGGCCACACCCTTGTGTGGCTCCTTCCCTTGCCTCATTCTCAGTCCTTGCCCTTCCATTTTTCCTGATAATTTCTCCTTAATAAACCACACATCATTGAACCCTGTGCCAGATTCTGCTTCTATAAAACCTAACCTCAGACAGGACACATGTGGTCAAAACCTAAAATATTAATCATGTGAAGTATATCCAGGATATTAAAGTTTCTTTTCCATAATAAGATGAGCAAGGAAAACCAAGAAAACTTGCTTAAATGCATCCTGATATGAACAAAGCTCTGCAATTTTAGAGAAGGGTTAGAATGTGATGGTGACTCTCTTTGTCGGGGAGTGCCTGTCTCTCTGGTCAATCCCTGATGAGCAGGGTACATGGTGTTCTCTGTGTGTGACTTTATGTCTGTGGTGGATCTCTAATGGTTGTGTGTGGTGGATCTCTAATGGTTGTGTTTTACACTAGGTAGTTCTTTAATTTTGGCATTTCTTCCTAGTGCAGGTATTCTCAAACTTGAAGGTACATCAGGATCACTGGGGAAATAAGAACACAGATGCCCTGATGTGACTGAGGTAAGAAAGGACCTAAGCATTTGTGTTGATAACAAGTTGCCCAGGTGCTTTTGAAATGACATGGTTTGGGGCGCCTGGGTGGCTCAGTGGGTTAAGCTGCTGCCTTCCGCTCAGGTCATGATCCCAGGTCCTGGGTTCAAGCCCCACATTGGGCTTTCCGCTCAGCAGGGAGCCTGCTTCCTCCTCTCTCTCTGCCTGCCTCTCTGCCTACTTGTGATTTCTCTCTGTCAAATAAATAAATAAAATCTTTAAAAAAAAAAGAAATGACATGGTTTGAGTGTTTTGGCTGTTCAAGGATTGCAAAGTAAGAATGAGGATTAAAGGGGTGACAATATATACAGTTTTTAAAATACGGTCTTTAAAATATGGAAGGGTCTGAAAATCATTATTGCTATTAGTGCAGTAATATAAGACTCTGAAGCTGGTTACGAATAGGAAAGCGCTCTATGGATTGCTAACTTGCAGCCTATGTTTCCTGGAAGGCTCATTGCAAGTCTAAAAGAAAGCACAGGGTGGAGAATGAGACCTCTAACCCAGGTAAAGGAAGTAAGAAAATCTTAATTCTTGAAGAAGCAAGATCCCACCCTAGATAGATCTCCTGGAGACAGGGAGATTCTTTTATTTTTTTAAAGATTTTTATTTATTTATTTATTTATGTATTTATTTATTTGAGAGAGAGAGAGAGAGAGAGACAATACAAGCTGAGGGAGAGGCAGAGGGAGAAGCAGACTCCTTGCTGAGCAGGGAGCCTGATGGGCAGCTCACTCCCAGGGGCTGGGGTCATGACCCGAGCTGAAGGCAGACACCTAACTGACTGAGACACCCAGGTGCCCCAGGGAGATTCTTCTATAAGGGGAAGTCACAAACAAGAAGAATGAGTGTGTACCATTAAGTAGAGAGTGATTCTATTTCCTCCTGGGTACTTGAGTTCCTAACATTAGAAATATGCTAAATGGGAGAGAGCTGAATTCCTCAGGCTTGGAAGGGACCTCCAGGACTATAAACTGGTTTTCACTGAACTGAGCCAGGGATACATAGTCTCATTGTTGACTAGACACCCAATTACAGTCACTACACTACAAAATTGTGTTGCCATATAACAGAGTTAGAAACCAGCCTGACTTCTGAAGGTTGGTAGAAGGAGTATCAGATACCTGATTACTCACCTTCCTCACTTACACATCCTCCCTCTCTTTTCCTTTCTCAAAAACCCAGTTCTGCTGTCCAGGCAGCACAATAATTTCCAAATCCACAATACAATTCCCAAACCCGGGGTGATATACTGGATCAAGGACAGCCACCGATAAAAGAGATGTCAGTACTTAATTCTGTGATCACCTTTGACCCCTTAAATTCCCACAATTGACTCCATTTCTTTCATGTGACCGTTCGTTTCCCTGATCCTTCCCTTGCCCTTTCACCTGTGGGCTGAGCATTGGCTGACTATCACAGCTTTGGTGTGATGTATCAGGAAATGGATGCTATTGTGTCAAGGGCTGGGAAGAAGAAAGACTCAGGGCCACTGTTACTTCCTCAGTGGAAGCTGTTGGAGGTGAAAACACTGACCCCACTGGCAGAGATCCTATGTGATTCATGGGAAATGGTTAGTAAATTCTGAGAGGGGAATTCAGAGGAAAAATTTTCTCAACAAGAAGGCAAGCAGAGGGGATTTAAGAGAGACTCTGCACAGTATTTGTAGTTAAATTATAAACCTTTTGGAAGAATCTTCATCAGTTGTAGATGGCATTCCTACCCTGGATTGAGAAGATGAGGAAGGAGAAGTGGGGTAGTGTGTCAGTATGAATATTCACTTTAACTTTGTATAGAGATGAGTCAACTCAAAATATTTATAGAAAAAAGTCATTTTAATTTAACAGTAATAAGAAATTTATGAAATCACTACATATAATAAAAATATATGATAGGACTATAACTTAAAAAAGCAAAAAATAAGAGAAAGGAAAAAGGGAAGAACTGGGAATCACTGGGAATAGACACCATAAAATGATTTGAAATAAGAGATGGTATATAAATAGATATGGCAATTTCTTTCATCAATTTCTTTCAACTTTGTCTTATAGATTTTAGTGTCAAATGTATTCCTTGGTATTTTATTCTTTTTGATGCAATTAAACTGTAATAATATTTATTTTCTTTAAAGATTTTATTTGTTTATTTGACAGACAGATATCACAAGTAGGCAGAGAAGCAGGCAGAGAGAGAGGGAGAAGCAGGCTCCTTGCTGAGCAGAGAGCCCACGCAGGGCTCGATCCCAGGACCCTGGGATCATGACCTGAGTTGAGGTCAGAGGCT